TGGATCCTCTGTAGGAACAGAGACTCAGGTCGGTGACTAAGAATAATGGGCTGATAACTAAGAGTTCAATCTGAAAAACTCACACGAAGAGGAAAGACAATTAGGAGAAATTTATTGATACAATTACTTGGTCCAGATTGATTTTTGATAGATATGCATGAACAGGAGCAAAGAATAGGGCTGTTTCCTCCCAGGGCTGAAACTGATGGTGGAGTGGAGATAGATTAAGTTGGTCAGTCTGTAGACTGCTGTTAGCGAGACGGTCTGCTGAGCTTTATGGGCAGATCCAGTGCATTGCATGAGCTGATACTAGAGCTTCACTCAGGGACCTGGAAGAATGAAGTCCAGTGGGACAACATAGGTTGAGAGAACCTGTCCATGATGAGCAAGCATGGAGCGACGGTGGAGAAGAAAACCGGGGAGTCTAGGAGGAATGACACTCTAATGAAGCTTTAGCTACAATGGTGAACAGTGTCATCTGAATGAAGTCACACAGATCATCCGCCGCCTGTGCACAGGAGCAGAAAGGTGCGTATCGCAGGCCTTTTAAGATGAACCGATACCGATACCATATGTTTGAAATTCGTGTGTGTGTGTATATATGAAGAACTCCATACTAGTATGTAAAATAATTGCCATCATGGCTTTGTCAAGCTGATGCCTACCTTTGTGAAGCAGGAAAAATTCACTAATTCACAATTTAATTAATAATTTATATCGTTTAGGAAACATGTTGTGTGGGTTATTTTTCTTTTAAGGAGCAAACAATCAAGATATATTAAACTAACAATACAAAAAATATGCAACTAATACTTGTCTTTAGTATTAATACCATGCATATTTAGTATTGTGTACAAATGCAAGTGGCTCTCTCTGTAGGCTGCCATCAAGGCAATGGAGTGACAGCCCCCAGGATGAAGAGGCACAAAGCAAGAAACAAGGTTCAGAACCCAACCTGACCCAGAATCACTGCCACTCCAATCAGGTAGGCTGAGCCCAGGAACCAATCCCCCTGATAGCTCAGGACCCCAGCAGTTCTATCACCCCACACCAAGAACTAGAATTTGAATGATTTATCTTTGGCGATGAGCTATATTTAAAACAAACTCACTTATTTAATATGTAAAATAAACTCAGTATTTAATATCCATTACTTAACCAAAGATTATTGATTTTAATCTTTATCAAATGTAATTAATTTGGGATATACCTCTTATTGTTTTATTATGCTAAGTCTTTATCTCTGGTAAATATGACAAATGTTGTTTTAAAGCCATTTCTTTGCAAGCAAATACATAAAAAGGTTTTTTGCTCTTGTTATTTGCATTCAGATAGCACTGACAGCCTTCAGTTATGTGTCTATTCAGTCTCACTGAACACAAATTGATTGTTGAAAGTTTGCGCTC